AAGTGAAACCTTTTGCAAGAATGTAAAAATGGGAACTGTGTAGCCAACAATTCCTTTTAAATAGGGTTTGTTGTAATCCCACAGCCAGTTACCTGGAAGTAAAACCCACTAGACTGCATAAAAGCTCTTGAAGTAGACACACCACTTTCAGTGCAGTAAAGTAGCGAGCATTTTAAAAACCAATCTCCTTAAAGATAACAACACAGGAACAAAATGAAGCAGTCCTTATTGCTAGCCAAAAGTTAAAAATAAAATAAAAAATAAAAAAAATTGAGCAAAGCAAAATAGAATTGCCTGGAGGGAAAGACAGAACCTGATATTTCTGGAATGATAAGCTTTCTGCTGTACCTTTCACAGTCCCAGGGAGAGAGCAAATTAAAGTTAGTTAAACTCCACCTTTTATACCAGCTGTTCCTCCACTTCGGAACCTTTTAAACCATTTGAAATCGGTCTCCACAATACCCTGGGATCGCAGCAGTGACCCCACTTTCAAAGTTAAGAGTTATACCTGTAGAAGAGGAAGTAGGTTGACTCACCTGGTAGCAATCGGCCTAAAAAGTGTTTCCAGGAGCCAGTGTGTGAAATATATTGTACTGTGAAATGGCTCTGTATATGATAAACACCCCGAGGTGTTTTGTTTGCTTTAGTGCATTAAAAAAAAAACCCTGTTGCCTTGACAGAGCTCTCTGGCCTGCGGCATCAGAGTATATGAATTTGATCATGACTTCCTCATTCACTTGACCACAGAGCTCCCATCAAGGCTACCTAGATGGAACTGAGTCTCAAGGCATTAAACCAAAGCATATTCAGGTATTTAGGGTGGGGCTGAGAGAAGTCCAGATGATATTTGTGTAGTATATTGGAGGGTACACTCAAAAAGGGGAGAGGGCTACAACAACGAAAGTAAGCAAACTCCAGCTAATATGGTAAATACACAGGTTTGTATTAATTTAGATGTAGGTTAGGTAGAGTAGAGAGTAAACTTTTTGCTGCTATTTAATAGTTTTACAGCCCAAATGAAATACACTTCACTGCTGGTATCTTTGTTATCACTTGGGAGAGCCTCTCTCTACTTCATTTTATTGGTTTGGTTATATGTTTTAATGAAACTTTTGTACGGATTTCCTTATTGGACAACTGAAAATGTATGTGATGGGCAGGTTTTAAATAAAGGTTTACAGGAAACGTGAGCCCTGGAGCCTTTTTCTGTAAAGTGGTATAAGCGTACCATTTCTTCTTTTTCCTTTTATGTTTCAGATGATTTGATTGTTGAGGGCAGGAATGTAATATTTGCCAGAAATAATCCAGATGTTGCTGAGAAAGCACACTTAATTTGCCTGTTAAATATTGACGCCTATACAGGTAGTTCTCAACTTAAAATGGTTCGTTTAGTGACTGTTTGAAGTTATAACCGCACTGAAAAAAAACTTCTCATTTTTCACACTTACTGTATGGCCATTGCAGCATTCCCTTGACCACATGATTTACATTCAGATGCTTGACAACTGACTCACATTTATGATGGTTTCAGTGTCCTGGAGTCATGGGATCCCCTTTTGCAACCGTCTGACAAGCAAAGTCAATAGGGAAGCCAGATTCACTTAACAATCATGTTACCAATTTAACAACTGCAGAGATTCACTTAACAAATGTGGCAAGAAAAGTCGTGAAATGGGACAAAACTCACTTAACAAATACTCAGCAACATACATCCTGGGCTCAGTTGTGGTTGTATGTTGAGGACTACCTGTATTACCTAAATTATAGTGCACTAACTTGATTCTCTGATTTGTCATGCATGCAGTATTATTATTGCTTGCAGTAGTGCAGCTTTTAACTTTGATAGTAAGAAGCAATGGATTCTTCCTGCTTCTGACAGAGGGTAGATCTAAGCTGCTTTTCTCTAACTGGTGCCTTCAGGATGTGTGATACATTTCCATCAGCATCCTGAAATTCTGCAAACTGGATGCTCTACGGGGGGGAGTGAAATCTTTGCTTCTTGGTATGTCTCAAGGCTGGTGTAAACAGAATGAAATAAGGAAATTATAAAGGAACAGAATAGACCACATCTCCTCCAACTGTACAAAGGAGGATTGTTTTGGAATTGAGCCTTACATTTATCGATCTGTAAATTAGATTTATAATCCGGGTTTTTAGATTCTTTCTCCCAAAAGAGAAAATCGGTACATCAAGATACAACTTAGGCTAGAATTTTATCCATGACAAATTGATTTTCAACTTGCAAGGAACAATTTGAACCAAAGAGCACTGGTATTACTCAAGGGTTGTAAAAAAATTGAGGAAATGAGCACTTTTTCTGCAGAGAGGTAGGTGCCACAAAGAACAAGGAAATAAGTGGGGAGTTAGGAAGTGAAGGGATAGTAATTACCCAGAGAAGATCAGAGCAAAGAGGGATAAAGATCAGGGAATGAGATGAAAAGGCCCCAAACAGCAGGGAGCCTACAAGGAAATTTGAACTGGGAGTCTCCTGGGGGGGGGGTGTTGGGGGAGTCACCCTTAGAGTAAAGGGTGTTATGTATTGGATATATAAGTTGTGTTATGCCCTACTAAAGGGACGCAGAGGCTAGGACGCTGAGCTTGTCGATTAGAAAGGTCGGCATTTTGGTGGTTCGAATCCCTAGTGCTGTGTAATGGAGTGAGCTCCCGTTACTTGTCCCAGCTTCTGCCAACCTAGCAGTTTGAAAGCATGTAAAAATGCAAGTAGAAAAATAGGAACTACCCTTGGTGGGAAGGTAACAGAGTTCTGTGTGCTTTTGGCGTGCAGGCCATATGACCACAGAGATGTCTTTGGACAGTGCTGGCTCTTCAGCTTTGAAACAGAGATGAGTACTGCCCCCTAGAGTCAGGAACGACTAGCACATATGTACAAGGGGAACCTTTACCTTTACATTTTAAGCCCTGCATTTTTACA